AGCTATATGATTTCTAGGAAACATCTTTAAGATATGCCAATAAATAACTGAGAAAAACCAGTCAGTAACAAAATGTAGAGCATGCGCATATTTGTCTAATTAAAAAAAAGAATATAAATATGTATGCAGGTACACGCATCATTTTTTCCTGAGAGTATTAAAAAATAGTGCTAACAGTTATTACTTTGAGGAGTGGGATTGGGGTCTGAGGGAGGGGAGAGGATGCTTCTCCTTGATTTTATCCCTTTTTAAGTTATTTGATGTTTTAAATGATTTGCACTCATTAATTTAAAAATCATTATCACAAAAACAATCCAATGGCTGTAAAAATTTAAATACTGCAGAAGTTAATCAAAGTCCCTCTCCCGTCACCTCTTAATCCCATTCCCCAGAGGACAGGTAACCACAGAAATGAGTTTGGGACCTCACTACTCAGAATATGGTTTCCAGAACAGCAGCATCAGGAACATCTGAGAAGCTGCTAGGAAAGCAGATTCTTGTGTCTCACCCCAGATCTGCTCAAATTCCATAGTGGGGCCCAGTAACTGGTGTTTTCAGAAGTCCTTTTGGTTATTTTGATGTGTACTCGAGGCTGAGAACCACTTCGTTTTAGCAGGTTAGACCATATCTTTTGCGGGGGGGTGGGGGGGAGTGTTGAGAAAAATCCTGTGGAAAAATTAATAACTCAAAACGGCATGTCTCCATTCACCCAGAGAGCTCTAGCTCAGAGGTTGACAGCCTCTTGAGGCCACTGTGACCTCTCTGCTGGAGTTGAGTGATGACATATTGCCACGGTTTGGAAGCATTATCCAGAAAGGGGGACCTGCTAGAGTGAGAAACTTAAGGGAGGAGGAGTAGGGAAAGGAAAGGATGCAAATAAAACCACCACATGATGGCAAAGAGATGACACCAATACCTCAGGGCCACTCAATCATTTATTTCATAAACTTTTTTTTTCCCCCAAAAAACGTATTTCTTTTTACATTGAGGTATCATTGAGACACGATGTCACATTCATTTCAGGTGTACAACATAGTGATCGGACAAATCTATACGCAATGCTGTGCTCGCCACCGTCTGTCACCATACAACGCCATGACAATGCCATCGCCTGTATTTCCTATGTTTCATAAACATTTATCACTTTCCCATTCTATATCTCTGTATCATTATGTCCGTTTCCTTGCTCTGACCCACACATTTCATTGTCCATCATTTACCAAATCTGATAGGGTCATTATTTCTCACACCATTCAGTGTGTTCACATTCAGGGATGTGTTTGCCAGTGATTCCCTGCTCCCTGGCCAAAAAGTCATGAGCTCTCAAAGCTGCTCAAAAGAGGAGCGCCAGGGGTGACTCGGTCGGTTGGGCATCCGACTTCGGCTCAGGTCATGATCTCACGGTTCGTGGGCTCGAGCCCCACTTCGGGCTCTGTGCTGACAGCTCGGAGCCTGGAGCCTGGAGCCTGCTTCGGATTCTGTGTCTCCCTCTCTCTCTGCCCCTCCATCACTCACACTCTGTCTCTCAAAAATAAATAAGTGTTTAAAAAATTAAAAAAAAAATCAAAGCTGCTCAAAAGAGTCATAAACAGGGGTGCCTGGCTGGCTCAGTCGGAGGAGCAAAACCCCTCTTGGTTTGGGGGTTGGGAGTTTGAGCCCCACGTTGGGGGTAGAGATAACTTAAATGAATGAATAAATAAAAATTTTAAAAGAGTCATAAACTCCCTCTGGGGGTAGAGGGTACGGAGGGGGTGTGCTGAGGAATTCTGCACAGTGGGAAGGGTTGAGGTACAGTAGGAGAGGACGTGTACATAAGCGCACTCGGGATATAGCAGTTTCAACAATGAAGCCACCCCATCTGAAGCTCAGAAGAGAGGGGATCTCACAGGGTTCCCCAACACGGATGCTGGTCCCCATGCACCGATCTGCCTCCGCCACAGAAGAGCTTGGGGCAAGAGCCTTCAACTGGGGGGCAGGGGTCATGGGAGGCTGCCTGCAAACGGGAATCGTTCTCAGTGTTTCACATGAGAAGACTGGGAATGTGGAAGCTCAGACAAGCCTAAGGCTCGGGAATGTTTAATCTACTGATTCTAACAAGATGCCCCCCATTTACTAACCACTTCAAAGACTTTGTTCTGTCTCCTGACGAACTGCACCCGGTTCCCAGTCGGGGAACGAGCGTTTGTTTTCTGGCAGGGGAAAAGGTTATAAGGGGTGGGAGTTAGCTTATAAGGCTGTTCGTATCTCGCTGTGTTCTGTTTTTGTAATTTGATGGCACCTGCAGAATGTTAAGGGCAACCATTTATTAAACTGGACATTTGACTAATCGTGACACTGTTTCCTTCTATTTTATTTTATTTTGCTTTATTTTATTTTATCTTATTCTATTTTATTAAAGTTTATTTATTTATTTTGAGAGGGAGAAGGAGAATGAGTGGGCTGGGGCAGGGAGAAAGGGGGGCCAAGGATCCAAGGCAGACTCTGTGCTGACAGCAGAGAGCCCGACGCAGGGCTTGAACTCACGAATGGTGAGATCACGATCTGAGCCAAAGTCAGACGCTTAACCGACTGGGCCACCCAGGCGTTCCCCCTCCTTCTATTTTGAATAAATGAGCATTTACTCTTATAGAGTCTTAGCTGGGGCCACCTTCGAGATGTTCTCTGGGCCATTAATATTTTCTTGGGGAGTCTTGAGAAAAATACAATGCCCACGCCACACTGCATACCCACCGAATCAGAATCTCAAGGGGTGGGACCAAGGTGCAAGGCTAGTTTTAAAGTCCTACAAGTTATTCCAATGCAGCCAGGACTGAGAAACTGCTCTAGTCTCACTATTTTGTTTTATGGATAAAAATACAGAAGTTAAAGAGATGAAGTGATTTGCCCAAGGTCAAGCTGCCAGTAAGTAGATCTCATCCCTAACTTTTCTGACTGCCCATCGACTGTTCCTTCCACTGTGCTCTCTCGTCTCTTCTAGAGCTTAGAGGTTTGCTGAACATTGCAGTTAGGTGATTTTTTTTCTTTCAAGATTTTATTTAAACTCAAGTTAGTGAACATATAGTGTAGTATTGGTTTCAAGAGTAGAATTTAGTGATTCATCCCTTACATTAATACACAGTGCTCATCACAAGTGCCCTCCTTAATGCCCATCACCCATTTAGCCTATCCCCTCACCCACCTCCCCTGCAGCAACCCTCAGTTCATACTCTGTATTTGAGCCTCTTATGGTTCACCTCCCTCTCTGTTTTTATCTTATTTTTCTTTCCCTTTCCCTATGTTCGTCTGTTGTGTTTTTCAAATTCCATATATGAGTGGAATCATATGGTATTCGTCTTTCTCTGACCGATTTATTTCACTTAGCATAATATACTCTAGTTCCACGCACGTCATTGCAAATGGCAAGATTTCATTCTTTTAGACGGCTGAGTAATACTCCATTGTGTGTGTGTATACCACATCTTTATCCATTCATCAGTTGGTGGACATTTGGGCTCTTTCCATAATTTGGCCATTGTTGATGGTGCAGTTCGGTGATTTACAGTTGAGGGAGAAGGGACAGAGTCCATCAGTTAAAGATGGGTGGGGAAACATCTAAGGACTCAACTCAATCAAGGGTTCTCCAGGACATGGCTCCTGTTAGTCTTATTGGTGGTGGGACAGTCGAATGACCTTTCATTGCTAAAAGCAGTGCCTAATACTATAGTATATGTTAGCTCCTCATAGAGCAAGTCAGTTGCTCCTGACTGAGTTTCACCCATGAAAGAATACATTCATGAATAAGTGTTCTCACGTTCAGGAATTAATCATGCTAAAGCAAATGATAGGGTATATCAGTGATTGTTCATATTTGAGCAGGGGTGGGTATTAGGGTGAGGACTCACAGGTTCCATTTGAGAATTTGTAAAAGCTATAACCTGCTCCCCCTCCCTGAAAAATCCACATACATAAATGTTGCATGTAATTTCTGGAGATTCACAGACCCTCCCCCCCTGCCACCCCCCAGCAAGTTCATCCATGGTCACCAGATTAAGATCTCCTGGACTAGAAGCTTTTGAAGCTCTATTTTTTTTTTTTTTTTAGTGTTTCTTAAAGTGTACCCCAGGAACCACAGAAATCAGAATCACTTGGGGGTGCTTGTTTAAAAAAACGGATTCCAAGGACAGCCACAGAACTACTGTTTCAGAATCTCTTACGAATGAGGTATGGGAGTTTGTATGATAGTAAGCTCCCTAGATGATTCTTTGGGACACTAACATTTGGGAATTAGTGCTTTATCCCAACGTGAGATTTTTACAGTTTTTGAATGCTTTCATTTGTTTACTATTTTAGGTTTCATCTATTCAACTGTCAAGTATACCAAATAGTATGCTTAGTCTGAATTCATTAAAGAATAGTCACATGTGGATATCCATAGGAAAAATAGCTGGAAGGGTAGATAGATAACCATCTCTCTCTGGGTCTTTACTTTTCCCCTTTACCCTTCTATTTTATTTTTTTATTTCCTATTATCTTTCTTTCTGTGTTCAAAAAAGGTTCTTTCTCTTTCTGGGTTTAACTCCTCCATTTGAAAAACAGGGTGTTATAACTAGGGCGAACTTCGAGGCCACGTCTTGCTCTGGCTGTCCGTGACACCATACTACCCTCAGCGCCCTTGTGCATTTAATAACACGAACTGCAGAGCTAACAACAGTGTTTGGAGTAATAACTGGGTACTATTTTTATATATATTATGTTGTGATGCCTAGCAACTGTTTCACTCCAGTAAAATTACTCTCTTCTTCCTCAAGGAGTTGGAACTGAAATAAACTCTACTATCTGTACCCCCCAAAAGTTAATTCTCTCTTTTAAGCCTTAGAAAAAGCCGTCCGCGCATACCTCTTAGGCACATAAGAATGATTGTGAACCAAAAAGCCAGGGCGTGGTCGCCCCGCCCACCGGCTCCTACGTCACCACCCTTCTCGCCGCTTTCAAGCGCGGAGATTGGCTAAAGGCAAGAAAGAGCCCCGCCCCTAGTCTTATGACCCGCGCTGAAGCGCCTTGTCCTGGCGTTTGCAGCACTTGTGGTCGGTGGTCCGCGCTCCTCTTGCCCGGGTTCCAGCAAGCTTTTTCCCTGGTGTTGCTGCTGTTGTTGCCACCGCCACCGCCACCGCCACCGCCGCCGCGCCGCCGCCTCCTTTGCGGAATCATGGTGTGCTTCCGCTTCTCCCCGGTTCCGGGCTCGGGGCTCGTTCTGCTCTGCCTAGTCCTGGGTGAGTTGTCGGGCCCTCCTGCTTAGTCCCTCAGCCTGGGCCCGGGGCGCCCAGTTCAAAGGCCACAACCTGCAAGACTGGTCCGGGGGGTGGGGGTGAGAACCTGAAAGGCTGACACTGGGCGGTGGCGCTTGGCCCAGGGAAGCGAGCCGTGACCTAGAGAAGGCCTGACCGAGGGATGGCGAGGAAGAAGGGCCCGTGAGAGTAAGAAGGGGCAAGTAAGGGGGGGTGGGCGCCGAGGGAGTAGGTGGGGAAGAGGGAGGAGTGGAGCACATACGGGTAGAAGGAGTAACTTGGGGAAGATACTGAGGAGTGAGCGTAGGTACGTGCGATTCTGGGGTGGCAGAGACAATCAGGGGAGTCCTGGTTTCTTAGGATCTTAGGGGCGAGAGCAAAAATTGGGGAGGGAAGAGACTATTGCCTGCGTGGAGAAACTTGGGGGAAGGGGGGAGGGTAGGGGCAGATATGACAGTAGAGTCTGAGGGGGCAGTGAGAGGGCTGGGGGCGGTTTGTGGGCAGGAATTTGAGGCTGTGGAGGAAGGGTGATTAAAGAGACGAGGAATGATGCTGTATTTGAGTTTGGTAGCTCGAGTTTGGAGGGGTAGGGACCTCGGGTGGCCCGGGGCAATTTCCAGGCAAGAAAGCACGGAGGTAAGGTCTGGAAACGAAGGGGATGAGGGGGGACTTTGGTGGGGAGTGAAGATCTGACTTGGAACTGTTGAAGATGTCGACTTTCTACCAGTCGGCTATTTCCTCCCAGCCAGATCCTGATTTAAACAAACAAACCAAAAAAGAAAAACCTTAAAAATCCTTTAAAAAAATCCCCAGCTCTTTCAGCTGGGAGGGTCTCCTAGATGTGAGGTTTTGGAGTCTTTGTCTACTGCCTCTTTGCCTTCAGAAGGTTGTGTTCGTAGCCACACAACTGGCCTTTCACTTCATTTTCGGAGGAGGACCATAGGTAACTTGCTAAAGATTGGGGTGTTACCAAGTCCTAAGAATGGCTGGATGAATGTTGGCTGATTGAGTTCTACCACCCTCCCCCAGTGATTGCTGAGTCCCTGAGGGCTTTAATGCCTGAAAGGTGAACCTTGACCAGAAGGTCTCTTCCTGACCTGATTCATCCTGTGCTTGCTGCTATCCACTGACTCTTGCTGTTTGTGACCAAATAAATGAACAGAAGGAACAGACCCAGATGGGAGTGGGGAGGAAATAGACATAATAGGGGTCTGAGAAGGCACACATTCTAACTCCCATTTCAGTGGAATAAAATCAGCACCTGAAAATAGTGGATTTTCAAACAGTGGACATTTGGCAACATCTGGAGATGTTTTTGGTTGTCAAACAGACGTTTTGGTTGTCAATCTGGGATTGCTTTTGGCATCTAGTGGGTAGAGGCTGGGATGCTGCTGAACATCCTATAATGCACAGGACAGTGCCCCCAACAAAGACTCATCCACCTCAAAATGTCACTAGTGCCAAAGTTGACAAGTCTGGCTCCAGAGTGATAGTATTGGAAGGGTTCTTGATGATCTAGTCTAGTGATTCTCAAGGATCTTTTTGAGGAGGCGTATGTCAGATACAAACATTTCTAAAGTAATACTAGGAAGTTACTTGTCTTTTTCACTCAACACTCTTCACCAGTGTACAGTGGAGTTTTCCAGAGGCTACATAATGTGTGGTGACATCACTGCTCTGATGGCTCTGATGTTGTGTTGTATTCACTTCTCATTTTTGATTTCAAATATGGCCAACGCCAGTAGTCATAACTCATGTAAACCAAAGCTGTTTCAAGTTCTCAGTGGATAAGAGAGTAAGGGGTCCTGACACCAAATGGTTCAGACTCCCTGCCCCTAGTGCAGCTGTCCACCTAGGCCAGGAGACGCCTCCATAGCCCTTGTGAAAGGGGGCCATGGAGGCTTCGCTCAAACACAATTCAAAGCTGTAACGTTGGAGTGAAGCGCTTACTGAGGGGCCAGCGACCCTAAGAGAGGATTGTTTACAACGAAAAGCACCTTATCAGTGATGGAACACATCTGACCAAGGCATCTGTTAATCAGTAGTTCACTGCCAATTGAATCTGCACAAACACAACGCCGTTATTGTTTAGAGAAAGTGAAAAAAAAATAATAGTTGTCTTACTTGTTGGCTTTTGTGTCATTAGATTTCTTTTTTACTGAAAGCTTTTTTGTCTTGTTTTTACAAAAGCAATGCTTGCTCAATGCAGAAAATAAACAGGCAAAAAGAAGCACATAAAAGAACCCATCAGCTCATCTGCTAGTTTGCCATTTATTGATTGGGACTAACTAGATTCATCTTCTTGGAAGATTTCCAAGATCGATTTCCTCCACCTCCAGGTTTAGAACAGGATTTGGAGAAGTAAACGTTCATAATGTACCTAGATTAGATTTTTAGAAGGTATCAGGATGAAATGGAAAGCATTTCTTGTGTACAGCTGCTTTTTCTGACAGCTGTTGGTTCAGTGTGGGGCTCAGACTCCTTCATGTGGCTTTTGGTCTAAGAACTGAGCAGGTCTTGAGTTGCTTCATGGGTTTGGCACATTACTTTTTTTTTTTTTTTTTGAGCGAGAGAGAGTCAGTCAGTCAAGTGGGGGAGGGGCAGAGAGAGAGGGAGAGAGAATCCCAAGCCAGCCCCAGCTATCAGCATCAGTGCAGAGCCCGGCGAGGGGCTCTGACTCACTAGCTGAACAGTGAGACCATGACCTGAGCCAAAACCAAGAGTCCGACACGCAGCTGACTGAGCCACTTGGGCGACCCCGTGTACATTACTTTTATATATCAGAGTGGATACCAAAAATTATTCAAGCAGTCAATAAATACTCATAAAAGACCTGTTGTGAATCTTGTGCTGCTCCTGGGTTCGAACGGAGGGGAGGTTCTGTCCTGAATTTATAGTCTCATTAGCTTGAGCACTCAAGCTGTGCCAGTTTCACTCTGTAACTATCCTGGCTCCAGAGGGTAACTCTTTAAAAAAGAAACAAAACAAAACAGCTGCTTTACAGCAAGCGTAGAAAAGAGTTTGAAGGGTTTATGCATTGGTCCTTTTCACAGAGATTACATTGTGCTGTTTATTTGAGTGAATTCTAACTGACTAGGGAACTTTCTGAAGAAAACCTATATGATTTTTCTGAAGAAAAGCTGTGTAGATGCATTATAAAGAGAGTAGTAGGTGAAACTCATTTCCGGGCATCACTGTCTTAAGGGTCTTTTCTTTGAGACCTCAGAGATTTCAGAATTCTTCTGTGGTTATTGATTTTTGTAACTAGTTTGACTCCTGGTTTTGATAGGGTTGATGCTTCTCAGGGTGGGAAAAACCTCATATAAATATCCTGACTGTGAACTTAAGGGGTAGGAGCCCCTCCCTCCCTCAAGTGTTTATCCATTGCCTGGTGAGCAGAGACCTGAGTGTTATGGGGGGGGGGGGGGCAGCCAGGTGACCATCTGAAGGAATAGGAGTAAATCTTGTCATTCCCAAACTCTCAGGTTTTTAGACTAGCCTGTTTTCCCCTTTATTTATTTATTTTTGATGTTTGTTTATTTTTGAGAGAGAGAGAGAGCACAGGAGAGGGAGAGGGCCAGAGAAAGGGAGACAGAGGATCCCGAGCTGTGAGATCATGACCTGAGAGCCAAAATCGAGTCAGATGCTCAACCGATTGAGCCACCCAGGTGCACCCCCCATTCTTTTTTTTTTTTCTTCCTTAATATCATTGCCAGTCAAGTCTCCCCTATGGCACTGGTCTCCGAGAGTGAAGACTCTTATGGACTGTCATTTCCCATTGCCTACTTAGCACAGCACTTGGTACGTAGTTAACCCTCAGTGAATTTTTGTTGAGGGTATTCATTGGTGGGTACTGGGGATGATTGTAAATTAGACCAGCTTGGTCTCCTTTTTCTTCTGCGAATCTTAAATTATGTTTTGCTGAAACAAATTTTTTTTGTGTCTTTGGACTTAGAACTTCAAGATCAGTGCTAAACAATACAGATAGTTTAAACCAATTTACTGAACTATAATCCCATATAATAATGCTAGTATCTTACTTGTACCCCTTCAGATATACCTACATAGTAGTGAGAGTTAGCATGGAGAAGCAGGAAAGTCCTTGGTGAGAATGAGATTAAGGTTTTCACAAACAACCAGTCTCTTCCCTTTTGCAGGTGATCTAAAAGAGAGAAAGTAAGCATGGGATCTTTCTGTAACCCTACCACATTTTGTTAACCTGATTACTTTGATTTCAAGGTTCTGCTAAAATTATTTTTAGCTGTAACAAAGATACTTGAAAGGACAGGCTTACTATTTGGCCATTAGTCATTGGTTATCACATCCGATAGAATTCTGGATATTCAAATATTTGAGTGCAGCTTTCTTCCCCTATATCCTTGGATGGAATTCGTGATCGATGATTATTTCACAGCACTGTAGCTGACCTAAGTGGTCCTTCCTGCAGGAAGACTGCTCTTCCTCCTGTAGTGACAAAAGCATTCCGATCATAATTCCATATTAAAGTGATCAGAGATTGCCTCAGATCCAAAAGCACACTTTATAAGTACTTGTTGGTATGTTGCTGTGCATTGCAAAAGAATTCTGGAGGTCTGCCAAACACCACTCACTCAGCAATAAGCACTTTCCATTAGTTGAATAGTGTTGAACCTTACTTCCTTACCCACTCTCTGATCTTAAAAAAAATTATTTTGTAGCTTAAAATCATTTCATTATTTTTCTTTTCAAAAGAGATGTACCAGAAATCAAGAGTATCAGCAACTGAATGGGTGATTGTACTTATATTAGGAAGCATAAATGAGGACTTGTAAATGAGGAACAGTTAATCTGATTTATCAAACCTGGGGACAGAGGAGAAAGAGTACATAGATACTGTATGCCTATGTCCTTTTTTTTTTTTTTTTAAAGACCCTTTGCCCAACATCATTGTGAACAGATCAGTTTGACTTCAGGAGTTCATAACTTAACATGATGAAAAAAACCTA